GGTCACCCAGCAGCTGCATGTGGAGGAGCGGAGACTCAAACCCGGTTCCCCAGATTACGAGACTACCGCTCTTAACCACTACACCACACTGGCTCTGTGTAAGAAATGTGTAAGTAAGAAATGTTAGATTCTTATGGTAGATTATTTCATTGATGGTGTGTGAGAAGGTGAACCCAAGATCTCTGTTTAAGATAAAAATTAAAACCATTAGCCATCTGTTTTGGAGTGAATAGGGCAATAGGGCAATAGGGCAAAGATGATCTAATAATTAAGGTGCCTGGTCGAGGCAAATGTAAGATATATGGCTACTTGTCTGCCATTTATGGATAGAAGGAAATATAGCTCTTTGTCTCCCATAAAAGGTAATAGGAAATGGGTGTATCTTTTATGATTGGTTCTAGCAAACAGCCAATAGGAATTTCAACCAGGCTGATTGGACAGAGGCAGCCAAAGGAGGAGCAAGGGGGCTGGGCTGAGGGAGTATAAGTGTTGGCCATCAGGGCTGGAGGGGCAGAGCTTTGGTAACCATATACCACTGTATCTCTCATTTATTTGTCTGACAAATAAATTATTATTTTAATTTCTCTATTGCTGCGTTGAATATTTCATTCCAGCTAAGCGTTAACCACAAGCAGGGTGCTACAAAGACACTATTGCAATATTTAGCAATCTGTCCTTCAAGGAAACTGGCCACCTGAAATGGATGGCTGGATTGATTGCCACCTAACCCTAACCCTAAAAGACCACCCATGGAATTTTCAATCGCTCCAGGAAGTGTGAAATACAGTTCACACCAGCTTTCGTAGTTATATCATTTATTCCTGCATTGCAGGGCGTGAACTAAATGGCCCTTTGGGTCACTTCCAACTCTACAATTCTATGATTCTGTGTCATGATTTGTACCTACAATAGCTGGGAAACAAAGAGTGTGATGTTCTAAGACATCATCATCATCATCATCATCATCATCATCATTTATTATTTATACCCTGCCTATCTGCATGGCTTCCCCAGCAACTCTGGGCGGCTTCCAACAAAATATTAAAATACAGTAATGCATCAAACATTAAAAGCTTCCCTAAACAGGGCTGCCTTCAGATGTCTTCTAAAAGCCTGGTGGTTGTTTTTCTCTTTGACATCTGGTGGGAGGGCGTTCCACAGGGCGGGTGCCACTACCGAGAAGGCCCTCTGCCTGGTTCCCTGTAGTGGTACCTCGGGTTACATACACTTCAGGTTACAGACTCCGCTAACCCAGAAATAGTACCTCGGGGTAAGAACTTTGCTTCAGGATGAGAACAGAAATCGTGCTCTGGCAGCGTGGCAGCAGCCGGAGGCCCCATTAGCTAAAGTGGTGCTTCAGGTTAAGAACAGTTTCAGGTTAAGAATGGACCTCTGGAACGAATTAAGTACTTAACCTGAGGTACCACTGTAACTTGGCTTCTTGCAGTGAGGGAACTGCCAGAAGGCCCTTGGCGCTGGACCTCAGTGTCCAGGTAGAATGATGGGGGTGGAGACCCTCCTTCACGTCCAACGCGTCAATTGCAGCAGGTAGATCCTGCAATGAATTCTGGTCGATCGCCACCCGCCCTCCACTGGGAGGGGCTGTTTTGATGCTGCACACGCCCACCCCTGCCCCATTGACGCGCACCCACCCTACACCCACCCCTGCCATGTCAGGGAAAGCAGGCAGCGTCAGGGGAAGCAGCCAGCGCCCACCCACCCTGCACCCATCTCTGGGTGGTAGATCACTGCCAATTTTTATACTGGATCGTGGATCACAGTCAACTTCAAGTTGGGCATGCCTGTTCTAAGATAAGCCAAATGTATTGTTTTTCCTGCATGAAGAATTATTTGTAATTGAAAGTTCTTCCAATTACTTCTAATTGAAAGCCTAGCAGACTGTCACATTTGGCCAATGAATGGAATATGAATTTCTTATATTCAATCCATAAGACAACTGTTCTTGCACCTAGCACATACCTTATTCAGTTTTTATTTATCTAGGCTGATAGCCAGCGCTGTACTTTGGGTTTGTTTTATCTCCTTTGCTATCACAACTTGTGAGAGAGAAACCTCATAGCTTGTCTCTCCATAGACTGCAATACCAAATGACCATAAGTGCCGAGGTACCCTGAACTGGTAATATCCATTTAAATTAATGGACTTAAGTCTGAGTATGCTGGAAATCATCCACTAATTCAAGATTCCAATTTGTAAATCTGCAGAGTTGCCCTAGGTTTAATTTGCTAAGTTGTCTATGTTCTGGAGTCCTCAGCAATACTGAAGCCCAATCTTCTGCTCTACTGAAGCCCAATCTTCTGCTCTAAGTTTAGTTAGCCAGAGTTACTTAAAAGCTGTATTCCCTATTTTTATCCAGTATGTTGATGGACTGTGTTTTGGGTTAATCCTTCTGTTGCATAAATTGCTTTCTAAACATCCTCGAGATTCCACTAGAACAGAAAGTTGGGGTGTAAATTGAATTTCACTATAATACCAAAAAGTTCAGAATTTACTTTTTAAGATGCATGTGGCTGGAGGAAGGGAACATTTATGAACATAGCTTTCAGATTGCAGTAGTACCCTAGAGTGGCAACAAAATGCAAAGTGAGCCAATTTAATTTCTGTGCATATATCATTATTTAGATTTGCAGCCTGCCTTTCAAAGCAGCGATTCTCAAGGGTGGCTTACAATAAATTGCAGCGCACACACATGTACAAAAATCCCAAAACCACAAAACTCAGCAGCTGTTAGTTCTCTCTGGCCCATGGACTGGGCCAGAATGTCCTTGTTTCCAACCCGAAGGGTCAGTGTGCTCTTCCTAGGGTGAACCAAGACGCCTTCCATATTTTTCCCCCTGGTCAATGGATGGGGCCAGGCTGGCCTTCCCCTTTACCCAGATAACTGTATGAATTATCATCACCCACCCTCTTCTTACAGAAAAAAGTGACTTGGAAGAACAGAGGGGTATGAAAGTTGGAGTGCAAAGTCTGTAAAAGTAATGCCCCAAATATATTTACTGATGGCATCCGTCTGTCTTGAGACAATGGAGTAAGCCACTGGGGGTGAAGTCAAACCATCACATTAGCAGAATCAACTAGACTTTCCTGGGGCACAAGCCTGGGCTGTCAGACAACAAGACCCCCCCTCTCAGCCTCACTGATGTGATCCAAAAGAAAGCAGAGCAATACAAGGGTTGCAGAAGTTGCCGGAAGGAGGCATACAAGATGTCATCTGAAAGTCTTAGGGACCTCACTAAGGGATTTGTGTAGGGTTTACTCCTTAGCCGTTTCTTCTCTCAAAGATGTCCTGAGAGGTCATGGGTATGGATTTTTCCTCTTGGTTTAATCCTGAAGCCTTTCTCATGGATGACTATACAGCCGTACCTTGGTTTTCGAACAGAATGCATTCTGGAAGTCCATTCGACTTCCAAAACATTCAGAAACCAAGGCATGGCTTTCCATAGGCTTCCGATTGCGCACGCAAGCTGGAAACAAAAGCAGAAGTCACATCGGACATTCGGCTTCCAAAAAAACAACAACAAAAAACCAACATTCGAAAACTGGAAAACTCACTTCTGGGTTTTGATCTGTTTGGGAGCCAAAACGTACAAGTACCAAGGCGTTTGACAAACAAGGTACAACTATAACCCCAAGGCAGGGACCAGTGTTTTCCTTCTCCTGGACAGGCTCCCTTCCCAGGGGGACAAGCCTCATCTGCCCCTCATTTCCCTCTATAGCATGTGCAGAAACCACCTTCTTGACGCCATTGGACCCACTATTGGACTCCCCCCAAAACACACACAGGTAGAGAAAGTGTGTGTGTGTGTGTGTGTGTGTATGTGTGTATACAGTATGTGTGTGTGTGTGAGTAAAGGTAAAGGGACCCCTGACCATTAGGTCCAGTCGTGGCCGACTCTGGGGTTGCAGCGCTCATCTCGCTTTACTGGTCGAGGGAGCCGGCGTACAGCTTCTGGGTCATGTGGCCAGCATGACTAAGCCACTTCTGGAGAACCAGAGCAGCGCACGGAAACGCCATTTACCTTCTCGCCGGAGCAGTACCTATTTATCTACTTGCACTATGACGTGCTTTCGAACTGCTAGGTTGGCAGGAGCAGGGACCGAGCAATGGGAGCTCACCCTGTTGCGGGGATTTAAACCACCAACCTTCTGATCAGCAAGCCCAAGCCTCAGTGGTTTAACTCACAGCGCCACCCCCGTCCCATATATATATATATATATATATATATATACTGTATATATATATGAGAGTGTGTGGTGTGTGTGAGTTTTAAAATTGTAAACAATTCGTATCATTTATTTCTCTTGCCCAAGGCTATTTACATACATACATGCACACATGCATACATTACATACATTGTTGTTGTTGGCACAAGTCGGTCTTGGGAGACAATGAAGGAGATACATAATTTTATTTCTCTACCACCTTTCCACAGGTCAAACCATGCTCAAGGCAGCTTTCAACAAAAGTAGTCATGAACCATTTGTATTTTTGTTCTGTGAACCGCCCTGGGATCTTGGGATGAAGGGGTTATTTACAAATTTAATGAATAATAATGCCGATAAATAAAGTAACTTAAATAATACACGACCAAAACGAACCGTTTCCACACAAACCACCACAAGATCTACAATAAAGATACGGGGGGGAAACCCTCAATCCCCAACGAAACCACTAAGTAACACCCCCCTCCCCCCCCCAAAAAAGACTCGCTTCCCCTCCCCCCGTGTCCATTTATCCCGCCTCTTCCCGCCTTCGGCCCTCGATCCCCTCGCAACTGTTCCTCCCTCTTCTTCGGTTCCGCCCGGCCTTCGCCACTCGCGCATACGCATGCGCAGCCCATCCACCCTTTCAAAAAAGAGAAGGGCGGAAACAAACAAACACGCACGTACGCCTCCCCCCCCCCTTTACACATGCGCGCTCCCTCGCGCCTTCCTTTCCTCTTATCGAGGGAGGGGGAGGGGGTTCCGTGGCGGAAGGTGCCTTTCGTCATCGCTGTCATCATGGCGGCGTCGGCGGCCGCAGCAGCTGGGCTGCGAGCCGAGCGCGAGGATCCCTGTCAACGCCTCCTTGGGCCGCGCGTGCGCAATGGCCCGCCTGAGCGCGAGAGAGCGACGGAGGGGAACGTTTCCTTTTCCTCCTAAGCTCCGCCCACAACTCCTCCCTCCCTTTCCCCCCCCTCCCCCGACTTTCACCCACCATAGCCCGAGCCAGCCTAGGCCGGAGCGGTGACTGGAGGACCCAGGGGGAGCTCCCGCCGCCGCCGCCACCAGTAGCACCACCACCACCACCTTCCCTGAGGGAGCCTGCGGGGGTCGGCTTCGCCGCGGCCTACAGCTCAGCTGCCGCCATGCAGATCACCCTGAAGACGCTGCAGCAGCAAACCTTCAAGATAGACATCGACCCTGAGGAGACGGTGCGGCCTGAGGGAGCGGGAGAGCCGAGCTTGTGGGCTAGGCCCAGGCCTGGGATTGGGCGGCGCGGCGGGGTCTGAAGGGAAGGTTCGGCTGACAGGAGTCGTGGGGTGGCGGCGAGCGAGAGCCCCGTTTCGAGGCCTCCTTCGGGGCGGTTTTCCTCAGAAGTTGCGGTAGGGGAAAGTTAGAGGGAGGCAGGCCGGGAAACCGGGGTGTTTTATTGGGGGGGGGAGGGAGGGAAGAATCCGTTGCGCGGGCTGGTGGTCGGAAGGCCTCGGCGCCCCTCCGGCAGGACTGAGCCGGGCCCAGGCTGCAGGTTCCGTTCCCCGGCGAGGCCTTTGACGCAGGCTCCGTTGCAAGGCGGGGAAGGGGATGTGCCTTCCCGCCCCCCTCCACCGACCCCCCTCCAGGCCTGGGGAGGAGATGTCTCCCGTTGCAATCTATACTCGATGCCCGTCCAGCTTGTGTATCTGCCGTGCAAGGGACTCCATAGAGAATGGTGGTTGGAGGGGCAGAGCGGGGGCTGGTGGGTGGCTCTGGCGGCGTCCTCGAGCGGGGCTTTGCCATGACTGTGCATTATTTCGCTTCGCATGAGGAAGGGGCGTGTGCGAGTTGGGTGCCTGCTGGCTTGCCTGCCTGCCCGCGCGCGCGCTCCCGCCCTCTGGTTATGCAGCGGAAAAAAAGGCCGTGAGAGGTGGGCAGCGAGAGGGTATGCTAAGGCGTGTTTTTTGGGGGGAGGGGGGTTCTTCCTGAAGGTTAAATTTTTCCCGCTTGTACAGCGATCCGTGCTTTTCCTGTTTTGGGTTGAATCAGAAAAGGGCGCGCTACGCATCGAAGTGTAGACTGCAAGGGAGTTGTTTCATATATATATATATTCAGATATCTGTCTCTCTTAAAGTTTATGCCCGGTTGCTAAACCGGTGTGCCTAGTGCTGGAGAAAATAGGGCGATGCAGGCTCCTCCACAGACTGCTCCAAATGGTTATTCCAAGCCAAACCCTCATTACATTATAAGTAGGTAGCAGAGGAGCAATCTTTGCACTCGCATATTAAAATACTTCTTGAGGCAGTGTGATGTAAGTGTTGGGATGTGTGTTTTTCCTCTCCCTGGTGTGAGCTGTATTGATTTGTCTCTTCAGAAAGGTGATTAGGAAGCAGGAATGTTGTTCTGTTGTTGGTTAATAATGGCACTTTCTGCAGTCTCGGTGAGCTGAATGCTGAACCTTTTGGAGAAAATCGGGAAAGGTATATAGACATATTACACTTTGTGACATTTGAGTTACAAGTGGTCAATGAAAGTGAACCTATATTGTCACACAATTTTTAAAAAAACGTTGTTCCCTTCACAGTATGTGAGGGGTAGATACAACACCCTTAATATTCTGCACTGAGCTGTGCTCTGTGTCTTTCCACTCCTCTTTCCAGAGTTCTTGTCATAGAAAGCACACTTTCTGAAAACTTGTAAGAAAGGAAGTTGTATAGAATTACGTTAGAAACGAGAGACTCTTTAAAAGCTTAATGTTTTCCTTGCATACCATAAATTATAGAGAATCTAGGCAAGAAGGTAAATATTACAAGTCATTCCTTAAAATTGCAAAATGTGCAGGAAACAAATAAATTTGAAGACATTGTTTTGATGTATTTTCCTTGGACTGTACCAGATCTCTCCTTCCTTTCCCATCCCCACAAACAAAACAACAACCGTCTTCGCTCCAGAGGGTCTTTCAGTCCTCTGGCAAAGATTTTGTTGGTGGTGGGGCTGCATAGGAAAGAGAGAACCATAGGAAAGGGAAGTCTCATGGACACTGGTGGAAGTCTGTTCCACATGCAGACTAACAAAACTGGGTGTTGCTCTGAGAGTGCAGTTTTCAGCTTTAGTAGTGTATTTTGTGTCAAAACCTTGAAACCTTTCTTGGTATACCTCTACAACCATGTATCTATAGATAGGTTAAGTAAGCTTATAAAATAACCTAAACTGTAGAACAACTGGTAGGTCTGCTTTAAAATGTTTCTTCATGCCAGATTAAAAAAATTATGATTAGATGCCCCTTTCTGAAGTAATATAGAATATGGCTGTCTGTCATGAAGGATGGTTCTGTCCAGTTTTTCCTGTCAGGTTTATGTGCAGCTCCATTGATACTGCTTCATATTTGCTAAAATGCTTCCCCAACCAACTGGGTGCTTGTATAATAGTTACTATTACACCTTCCTGAAGCCACCCTATAGCCTTACATTTGCAGATTTATTACCAAGGAAGGTGGTGGCGGCACTGGTGGGAAGTTGGGACAAATCTGGCATACCTGTAGCTATGAAAGCTTTTTCCATAGACAATGTTGATTTTGGATGTAGCAGTTCTGTTCTTGGCTTTGCAAGCCAAACGGATGAATCAGTAATATCTCAGAACTGTTTTAATCCTTGTGCTTGGAAGGTAGAAAATGTATAAACATTGCTTTGGAGTATGGGGAATGATGTATTTTTGATCTTCAGTCATCATGAACTCCCTGGTTGTCTTTAGGCAAGCTACTATCTCAACCTCAAATATTTTGTTTGTCTACTTTGGGGATCGTATAGTGCTATTGTATGAAGTTGTTAGGATTACTAGGATCAATGGAGAGTACTTTGAACAGTTAATGTTTCTATTGTACTTTTTCAAATTGATGTTTATACAGAGGATAAATTATGTGTATGTATTGTGTGGACTGATTTCAGTCACCAGGAAAAAGTGCTGATGGGAATTAGGATTCTTGCAAAATCTGGAGGATCACAGGTTCCCCATCCGTGCACTAGGTCTCATTCTTCTGTAATATGAGGATAATGCTGAACTACATTACAGAATTGTTGTAAGGATGACATGGTTCTATGTTAAGTACTCATGGGACTAAACAAGTAAATACTGTTTGGGTAAACAGTGTCCTTGAATTGTTGGTACTCACCACTTCTAGCATTGCTTAAACTTTATTTGAAGCCTTGGGAATGCCAAATGTACATTGAAGATGTGGACTGAAAATCATAACAATAGTATACAAACCCCTGGTTTGGGCAGGTGGGGGGTGGGGAGCAGTTCAATTGAGCAACATGGTGCTAAGGCTAAAAACGTTTCACCACACTGCAGTACTGGAACCATTGACATTTAAAGGTTGATTGTTTGAATGTTTTCTGCTGGTCTGTAGATTGCTGCAGGCTTCACCTCTATGATCTCTTTTGCATTCTGTATTTAGAAGTGTATCTTTGGAAAATGCCATTTTGATGAGCTGTAGATTTCAGTAAATATGAAAGATACGCCAGTAATTTATTGCCTACTTCATGGCTTTTTTGGAGTCGTTGGGTGGTTCTGTGTTCAGCTAAGGAAAACACAAGGTGGATACAGTTTTTCTTAGTAACTTTGTATATTTAAGCCAAGGCTGGTGATAGCCAATTGCCTGGTAGTCTGTGTTGAGCAATTTGTCATTCAGATAATTTCATAAAAATCCTCATGGCAAGGAGCACTCTCAAGAGCTCTTTTGTTTTAAAGGGTGATAGAGCAGGCACTATTTCCTGGGGTTCTGATGCTTGCTTCACAACCATCAAATAGAGTTTTATATAATAAATGCAAATAGTAAACACATTATAACAAAAAATGTTCAACACATTGAAATCAAGCTTTATCTTCTAATTTGATGTGCACTAAACTTCTAGCATGAAGGAGGAATCCCATGTAAATAAGAAGTGTCCAGCCCTCTGCTTGATTATTTTCCTCATTCTCTAATTTATCTGTCTCAGACTTGAAAGCCACATTAAAGGTAAAAAGGTAAAGCTAAAGGACCCCTGGATGGTTAAGTCCCGTCAAAGGCAACTGTGGGATGCAGCGCTCATCTTGCTTTCAGGCCAAGGGAGCCGGTGTTTGCCCACAGTTTTAGTCATGACTAAACCGCTTCTGGTGCAATGGAACACTGTGACAGAAACCAGAGTACATGGAAACGCCATTTACCTTTGCACCACAGCGGTACTTATTTATCTACTTGCACTGGTGTGCTTTCGAACTGCTAGGTTAGCAGAAGCTGGGACAGAGCTATGGGAGATCACCCCATCACGTGGATTCGAATTGCCAAACCTTCTGATCGGCAAGCCCAGAGGCTCAGTGGTTTAGACTACGGTACCATCCATGTTCCTCAGTGAATCACCTCATTCACTGTGGGGAGGATCCAACTTGCTACTCCAGCAGATTATGTCATCACTTGCTCCTATTCAGTGATGTATTTACCCCTTCACTGCAGCACAGCAAACAGGTGCTAAAATAGTGTTGAGAAGTACCTACTTCAAAATGTCAAGAGAAGGGGTGTGTTACTGACCACAAGGAGTTAGTAAAGGGAAACAGGCAACACTGCTCACTGGCCAATGTCCTGCGGTTCTTTTAGCCAGCAAATACATTTTCTGGAAATTGGACAACTCATGAAATTGTTCAGGGTAAATGTTAAGGAAACTAATGTTGGTGCTCTGTTCACTTGTATTCTGCATTGTATCTAGGCTTTTCTATTTGTTACCAACCAGTATTAGAAACTCAGATATATAAGCTAATATCCAAATGACACCTAGATTTGAACCTAGGTTTTGGTCACCACAATGCACTGTCTAGTCAACTCCCCCCCGCCCCCCAGGTGAACATCAGATAAAACAATCTACCACTGCTCCTTAGTAAACATAAGATTGAAGCCTTAGTAAATGAAAATCTTTGTAGAATGAATGGACCTGCAAAATCTTTTCCTGACTGTTATTTTTATCTCAAAACTATGAGACAGTTTTACTTTTTCGGGGAATAGACTTATGCATGGCGATTTAGATGCTATTCAGATCACTTTCAGCAGTGTTCATGTACAAGTCTTTGTTTTCTTCATTTGTGCTTCTACAGTCCTTTCAAGGACATGTTTTTTCCAGAGGCAGCTTCTAAGTATTTAGCACCCAAATTACAGAAGTTACAAAAATGCAGTATTGTAGTTAGGTGACCATGGTTTTGAACAAAGGTAGGGATGATGCTGGAACAAAGATAGCTAAAAATATATGCTTGGCAGTTGTTCATAATTTTCTTTCTGGCAATACCATGAGTGATTATGCAGTAAAGTTCTTAAGTTGTGCAGAATTGAAAATATATTTGAATTGGCTCAGTGTAAAGTTGAACTTTCAGATTTTTCATCCCATATTGTTAATTGTTTGTCAGTCTCTGGTACCTTCTTTTACTTTGATGACTTTGTGAATTCTGATTTGATCCATGCCTCTTGGATTAATGCATGGATTGAAATTTAGTTTTAAGTATTTCTGAATGCCCTGAAGCAGTTCTCTGTTAAGTTTTGAGAGAATGTTTTAAAATACTCGTTTAAACCATTAAATTTGAATACTAATATTTATTTGGATTACAAGAATTGCAGATTAATGTGGAAGTATGTTGGAACAGAACTGTGGGTGAGCATCTGTGAAAGTTACTAGGACTGGAGATGGACTCATCCATCCTTGGTACTAAGCCTACTGCATGCACTAATCTGGACCCCCACTCATCTAAAATATGAGATCAGCAAGTAAATTGGATGGCAGAAGGAAAGGGGTAAAATTCCTATTGCCTGGCAATACAAGATTCTCAGGCATGCTGCCATGAAGTATAAAGGTGTAAAGTCATCAATGGCATTCCTGAAAGATCTTCTCTTTTCATATCCCCACTCCCTTGGCAGATTGACAGTCAAATTAAAACTCTTCCTGGTCATGGCATTTTTGCTCTTGTCAGCGTGTTCTACATGCTACTGAATGAATATGCTTTTGTCATGGGAAGGGGAATTGCATCAGACTTATTAATAAAGATCTGGACTTAAATTAAAGGCAGTCTCTTTCTCATAGAAAGACAGTGCTGTCTAGTTACTCTTAATGCTGATGAGTACTTCTGGCACTATTGCTGCCTATGCATTCCTGAGACCGAAGGACAACATGCTGCATTAAATAGACTTGTATAAGCTCAGTTCTTTAAGTTAATACTGTGGAATCTTTGGACCTTCATGTGGTGTAAATTCAGACACAAAATTGTACCAAAAAGCTTAAATGCACACAAAAAATGTACTGGTATTTTCTATACATTATCTCCTGTTGTCTGATTTTATTGTGTTAACTTCTTAATTGAGTTGTGGGGGTTGATCTCTTGCAAATGTTATTGACCACTTCAGGCATTTTTTGTGAAGAGGCAGGGTATATATATTCACTTTTATTAGTGACCAGTACACAGTCAAGAGCTCCAAACAAATGCACAGAGTTTTGTGGTTCTTGAAACACAATTGCCATCTTGAATTCTCAGATTTTCATCCTTGATCACTAAAATAGCATTAAGGTTTTGACACTTGGCAAAAGGAAGATAAGAACACTGAAACTGAGAGAGCATGCCACATGACACTCTTGTGGACTGCGACATAGATTCATAAAATGAATCTATGAAAAGGGGTGGATGTTGATAGCAAAGTATATCTGGGCAAACTCTTTTAGCACATGCTTCATCCCTCTAACTCAGCCTTTCTCAACCTTGGGTCCCCAGATGTTTTTGGGCTACAACTCCCATCATCCCTGACCTGTGAGCTAGGGATTATGGGAGTTGTAGGCCAAAAACATCTGATGACCTGCCCACCTGTCAAATTTGGCTCATGATTCTGGTCTGTGGAGCCAAAAAGGTTCCGTACCGCTAGACTAGAGTTTTAGGTTTGCATCTGGGAAACAAATTCCTATTCAGCTTCGCTGAGTAGCTTAATTTGCCTTGCAGAATTTTTAGGGTAAAGTGAGACCCTGAGCAGAAGGGTGGGGGGTACAAATGTGATTAACTTAATCTGTGTCCTGTGGGCTGAACATTTTGAATGTTTAAACTGAAGTGTTGAGCATAGGTGTGTATTTAATGTTTGGATTACATGTAATCTGTTCAACTGACAGAATTATCTAATTGTTGAAGAATTACTAATACAGAAAATGCTTCCAGCAGAGCAGGAATGGACACCTGTGGCTCTCTAAGATGTCTCTAGTTTCCAATCATCCCTGGCCATTGGCCATGCTGACTTGGGCTCATGGGAGTTGTATTTCCTCAGCATATAGAAAGTCACAAGTTCCCCATATGCAATAGAGGAAACACAGCTTTGTATCACAGACAAAGAATGTTGCCGTCACAGGTGTCATAATGTGTGTGTGTGTGTGTGTGTGTGTGTATATATATATATATGCATATATTTGAAAACACTGTTCATAAGAGTTCTAACTAAACTTTCTAACTAAACTGTTTGTTGTAGGTGAAAGCGTTGAAAGAGAAGATTGAATCAGAAAAGGGGAAAGATGCTTTTCCAGTAGCAGGCCAAAAATTAATATATGCAGGTAATGTTTTTGCACATAGAAATTATTTCTAGGTGTTACTGTAAGAGGAATAAAAAAAGTTGGCAGGTCACAAAGAGGTCCATCCAGCTGACATGAGAAGCTTTTCAATCTTATTGGGGAGGGATTTAGGCACATGCTTAACTCTCTCCTTACTACCAGTGGGGCTTAATACATGCTTAATTTTGGGCTTGATCACACCCAAAGAAACCAAGAGTTAATCTCTTGGGTAATATATGGAATTGATAGAAGAATTCTCCTTGACCATTGTTTTCCCAGAAGAAAGAATTTGTATATGGCTAGGAATTTAGCTTCCTTTTGGACTTAACTTATATTCCATCTGATGCTTCAGCTAAATTACAATAATCTACAGCATGGGTAGGCAAACTAAGGCCCGGGGGCCGGATCCGGCCCAATCGCCTTCTAAATCCGGCCCGCGGACGGTCCAGGAATCAGCATGTTTTTACATGAGTAGAATGTGTCCTTTTATTTAAAATGCCTCTCTGGGTTATTTGTGGGGTGTAGGAATTTGTTCATTCCCCCCCCCCCCAAAAAAAAAATAGTCCGGCCCCCCACAAGGTCTGAGGGACAGTGGACCGGCCCCCTGCTGAAAAAGTTTGCTGACCCCTGATCTATGGCATTTATATAGCATATTCCAACAAAGCACTTAACGTACATAATCTCAGTTACCTATCCTTACAACAAGCTGTCACTAATTGATAGTGGGATATAAACACTGAAGGGGATAAATGGAACAATTTATGGACAAAAGCACAATATAAACCTCTGCCACCAACTACTACAGAAGATTCACTTTAAATTGTTGCATGGATATTTAACACTAAGATGTATCTTATACTAAGCCCAATAGCTTAGTTATATTGGAGAGGATGCCAAATTATAGATACATACCAACAGATGCGGTGGGAGTTATAGAAGTTTTTAATCTCACATTAAAGAAACATGAACAAGCCCATTAATTTCATAAGTTTTTTAAAACTGACTCACATTTTCCTTACTGCCATAGCTACTAAAATGGAACAATAGTGTTTTCTCAGGCATATCCTTAGCTAAATGACTATCACCATTTGTCTCCATCTTTAGATTTCTACACAGAGTGAACACATTGCAATTGCATTTATGGGATCATATTAAATGTGAAGAAAAACTAACATGAATGACTTTAATTTTCTAGGTAAAATTCTTAATGATGATACTGCTCTTAAAGAATACAAAATCGATGAAAAGAACTTTGTGGTGGTTATGGTGACAAAAGTAAGTCTCAGTGTAATCAGTAATATTCTGTCATGGGTGGCATGGGGTTGCTCTTAAATTGTTCTTTATTGACTTGTAACATAAGAAAACAGGCTGTTGGTAACTTTTATCCTGAGGTTTTCTAGTTTTGTATATATTAAGAGAACATTCAGCACTATAATAACAGAAAAAACAAGAATGTTGAAATGTATACTATAAAGGTTTGTGAGAATTTGTTTGCTGTGAAGTGCATGTAGCAGTGGTGAATATATTTTTCAAAAATGTGGAAGTAGCTAAATTTTACTTATAAACTCAAGAGTTTATATTCTCTTCTCTCTTACATCTCTTGGAATTTATTGGATCCTGGCTATTTATATATCTGTTGAAAAATACACTTGGTTTAACATACACCTTTATCTAAATTACTGTTAAGTGTGATTTTTCATTATCTCAAATACTGGTATCCTAGACAATTCTGATCAGATCCTCCCCTGTTTGTCAGATTAAATTAGAGCAGATAGTAGATGGGCAGCTGACATAACTGAAAACTGTCCATCTTTGAGACACATTCTGTATGTATTACAATTGACTGCATGATAAAACTATATTTTGATGTTAAGGTTATGGTGGGATGTGTTGAAAATTGTCAGGTTAAAAATGATTTGCCTTGCTAGCCTTTTTCCACCTGATTTTGGAGGATGGGTCCTGGACTGACTCCAGCTACAAAAGCTGAGGCTGCTGAACAGACCCTTGGGTTAGGGCGGGGGTTGTCAACCTGGTCCCTACTGCCCACTAGTGGGCATTTCAGGATTCTAGGTGGACGGTAGGCGGTTCCATGGCACAAGCTGAATCCTCCTTCCATTGAGCACCGGTGGGCGGTAAGGAATTTTTACCATCAAAAAATATGCATTAGTGGGCAGTAGGTATAAAAAGGTTGACTACCCCTGGGTCAGGGTATAGTTTAGGTTTTTTTGTTGCCATTGTTGATATTAATCTTTTGGCATCTCTATTTTTAGATCTTACGGTGTATCTGGAAATTGCTCAGTTTGGTTGTGTACTTTTTGATGTGTTTTGTTTTATTGTTTGAGTACTTTTGTTATTTTGTAATTATGTAAATCATCTTACATTGTAAGCTGCCTGGAGCATAAGTTTAAGTATGGTTAAGACAGCCTACAAAACTTGATGATGAAATAGAGCAACGACTCTGCAGCTTGCTGTAATGTGCATTTTGTTGCTTGATTGGCAACAGTCTTTCTTTTTCAGTTTGTCTATCTGAGAATGTGGCCTCCTCAAGGCCACTAAAAATAGCAATAAACTAAACCCATAACCAGACCTTGGTGGCCATATTATCTGTGTCTATTTGAACATATTGATGACTGATGGTTTTCAACAATGGTTAAACAGGATTTTGCTGAATTGCTTTTCAAATGACCTGATTGTGTCCCTGCTTCAAAAAGGTTTTCTTTACTGGCAGGCATTTAGCTTACTGTATAGATCTATTCAGGGATGGTTTGATTGTTAACCCTTTCTGCATTGATTTGTCCTGCATTGTAAACCCCACAAATACGTCCAGTAAAGCCTGTATGGTGCTGGAAGATTCAGATCAGATTGGTTGGCTCACACCATCACTATTTGTGGATGCTCTGAAACATACTTAATATCCATTCAGTAGAAGTTTGGTAGTGAAGGGCCAGCTGTCTTTCATGGAAAAATACCTGCCACCACTGATCTCCACATTGTAAAAATGCCCAAAAAGTTTGAAATAAAGTCAACAGTTCTTGGAACACAGTTTGAAAACTACTGCTCTGGTAGAAACAGCATAACCATATTTATGCGATTGGGTATAAATTATGTTTCTAGAATAACTGCACAGTTGTTTTAAGAATGTTGAAAAGAACACACTTTGGGTATTGCATGACACATGCAGTAATACCAAGTGACACAAAATGTGCATGGTGGTTTTCTAGCCATAAAGGGTTAATCTGTGTAGACCCACTGAAGTTAATGGATCTAAATTTACTCATTCTCATTAATTTCAGTTGGTCTAATCTGAGTAAGACTAGTATTGGATACAACCTGTAATGAATATTTCTATTCAAATACAGTGGTACCTCGGGTTACAGACGCTTCAGATTACAGACGCTTCAGGTTACGTACTCCGCTAACCCAGAAATAGTACCTCAGGTTAAGAACTTTGCTTCAGGATGAGAACAGAAATCACACAGCGGCAGCAGGAGGCCCCATTAGCTAAAGTGGTACCTCAGGGTTAAGAGCGGACCTCCAGAACTAATTAAGTTCGTAACCCGAGGTACCATTGAACATCACAGGTCGTCTCATCGCTTTGCATTGACCACATCATTGCAGTTTTAGTAATTCCAAGGGGCTACTGTTGTGTGCAATATCTTTCATGTACAATGGCTGCTTTTGCCATGCTAATGCAAACCCATCAGATTTCTTTTGGACTCTTACATATGCTCATGAGAAGCTAACACTGCAACAGGCATATGGAGTGTGGTGGATGTAACTTCCAAGATGAGCCCTGAGAGGTGTATGAAAATGGCCAATCACTGGTGCATGCTAAAAATGAAAAAGGATGGCTTGTGAATTTGATTCATTTAGATTTCTTCATTTTATAGCCCAAAGCAGCTGCTGCTCCAGCTCCATCCCCAACTACAACCCAGCAGTCAAATGATACCACCACTACTGTTAGTTCTTCTACGATAGCTGCTGCAGCCCCCAAACCTACACCTGTTCCAGCTTCTGCGCCTACACCAGTTTCAGCACCTGCACCAGCTGCCCCGACACCAGCTGCAGTGGCTTGTGAACCTGTGCCTGTAAGTGCTCCTGTAGAAGAGAAACCAGCAGATAAACCAGTAGAGACACCAGCTGCCACTAGCCCAACATCTACAGACAGGTATGAGCAGATTATTAGAAACCAGAGTCTTGTTTATTAACACCACTTATACTAAATTTAGCACTAGGACTTCTTGGAGGGAATCAAAATTGCTGAAAAAAGAGAAATATTAATTTTCAACCCTCCTACATGCTTCCTTCCAAAAATCCTGTTTTATTTTTTAAAAAACCAATGCTTCAGTATAGAGCACCAATGCATTTTTATCTTGTACAAGTCTTTTTACTAACTTCTGAAAATGGTTAATATGCCATGAATAATAATAATAATAATAATAATAATAATAATATTTATACCCCGCCCATCTGGCTGGGTTTCCAGTTGAGTTACTGTGTGAAGTTGCCAATATGGTGTTAACTTTGAGCTTTTATATATGTTTGTTAATAGAACTTATACAACAGTAGCTTGCAAGTATAATTGCTCAAGGTGATTCTGCAATAATTACAATATGGCAATGTAGCTTTTCCACAGGATTAACCAAAAGCAGTAGATTTAGCCATGTTCTAGTTTTATTAAGTATTTCACTAGAGTGCAAGTTGATAGGTTGTTAAACATTTCCATTTCCTCCCCTGAAAAGTGATTAAATGATGCACCAAAGGAAGCTACTTGGAAACTGGGCATGAACATCTGTTCAGTCAGTTTCAGCAAACAATGAGTCAGTCTGAGAGTTGTTAAAATTTGTGTGCATTTGAAGCTTGACCCTTGGTCAGAAGTCAGTAGACTACAGCCACTGAATGTGCCACTTGCATTATTTTGTACTTTACCCTCATATCCCTGGTTGAATTTCTGTTGTGAGCAATTAAGCCAATACCTGTAATGGTGGGTGCTAGTCTATATTTTTCATAATCCAGTTTGTATCGCAATGGATTGCAACTACTGTGGGAAAGGAAGTTTGGACAAATTCTACTAGCAGCATTTTGTTTGGGTAAAAACAGATGTATATATTGCAGACAAACCATTTTTGATTATTCATAAGCAAAATTATAATATAAGCCCCTTGAACTCTAAGCCTTTTTAAAGGAAATGAGTGGTTTTTGTTCTGTTACAGTACCACAGGTGATACTTTGCGATCCAATCTCTTTGAGGATGCTACAAGTGCACTTGGTAAGTATTTTCTGATAGTTGTTTGAGTGCCTCTTCTATGAAAGACTCGCAAAAAGCACCGCTTGCACCCTACTTCAGACATTAGTGTTGTAATTCAAAAACTGTGACACTTTGAAATGTCAGCGTTAGTGAATATTTTAACATGGGAAGTGAGTTTATCTGCAGAGAACAAGTTCCATTCTTATTATACAACAAACTTTACTTGCACCTCCTGGCTTCACTATCTTGCCTTTCTTAAATCTGTGTAAAAAGCACATGCTCCAAATTAATTGCAAGCTATATAATTCAGCAGTCAAAGTCTACAGCTATTAACGTTGGTAGTTTTACAAGAGGACAGATTTCTGAGGGGGAGTTGGAGGGAGACAGTATGTCCCCAGTATTAACTACATTGGACTTGTTTTTAACCATAGGGACAAAGGCATTTGTAAAACTTAAGGGGTAAATACCAGTTGTTTGCTGCCAAGATGACAACTCTAGAAATGTAGAATAATATGTATCCAATTTCATTTTGATGTGTTCAATGGGGAATTGCCGAATTGATCAATTTTATTTATTAATTAAGTTCTTACTTTGCTTAACCAATTACTTACAGGGAAGTTCTAATTGTAAGGTGGTGAGGGTTGCTAGGGTAGGGGAATGGATAGGATCAGTAGGGGATCTGATGATAGAGAGCTTATTGTTGGTACTGAAAGCCACCCAGAGTGGTTGGGGCAACCCAGTCAGACGCGGAGGGTATAAGTAATACATTATTCTTAATAAATTATTACTACTTTTCTAAAACTTTGTTATCTATGTTGTTCAGAATACGAGGGCCTTGTATTGATATCTGCTTTATGTATTGAAGATTGCTGCATAGAATCCTGTTGTACTGTGGATCCGCCTCCACCTCTCTCTCCCCACCCCTCTCTAACAGTATTGGCTAATAATGCTCAATTACAGTTGGTCACTTGAATAGCTTTTGCATTAAGCTTGACATTTCAAAAGTAAAAAAACCCAAACTGATCGGCATCTGTCTAGGAAAAACACTTTCTAGCCTTGTACATCAGATGGCTTTCTTAAGCCAGAAGTTATTATAATTAATTGACTGCAGCAAGGAATGGATATTTTTGACAGCTTCCCTCCATCTTCTTTAAATCTGCATGTTTCTTTCATCTTAATGTTTGCTTCTCTGTTCTTCCTAGTAACAGGTCAGTCCTATGAAAATATGGTGACTGAGATCATGTCGATGGGCTATGAGAGAGAGCAAGTAATTGCTGCACTGAGAGCCAGCTTCAACAATCCTGATAGAGCAGTGGAGTATCTTCTGATGGTGAGCATGTTCTCTTGATATTCATAATTTCTTGTTATGCCTTCTACCACCGACTTTGGGTGTGGCACAGTCATTAACAGAAAGAAAAACCAAAGGTTGGGAGGTGAATAAAAACTGAAAATAAAACGTTATAGCTGACCTATTATCTTTCATTCTGCTGTTAAAACAAATGTAATTTTCAACCATAATCCAAATGATTGCAGCAGTCCTCTTTACTGTTTTAAAAAATGTGTAGCTTTTTTGATCTGCAAGAAAGAAGGATGCTTTGGAAATGGCAAATATATGAGAAATGAGTTTGGATCCAGAAAGAAGTGTGTGAAAAAAGTGTGTCTTTTATGTTCAGGCAGATCTGGCAAGCCAATCTTGATATGGTCCAATAAAACCAGTCCTCTGTCTCTGACCTTTAACGAAAGCAAGTTCCTTCACAGGGATCTTCATCTCCTTAGGGCATGTACAGTTAATGTGAGCTTCCTTTTTGCAACCAACATTGGCAGGGCAGGGCAGTTTCTTACATCTTCAGTGCTTTGTTCTCTTAGCAATAGCCCATACCTCATAACATCTCAGAGTTGGGAGTTCAGAGGGCAACAACTCTCTGCCAGTTCCAATTAGGTTGCTCATATGTGCGAATGTCCCTAGTCTTGTTCTCTGTTTAGAAGCAATTGTAGGTCAATCCCCACTGGTTAGGATGGTAGTAGCACAGACGCGCAAGCAATTGTTATAACACAGATGAAGATTCTTCAACCTGTGAAAGAAAGAAATATAGCTGCTGCTCAAATTAGTGAATTATATGTATGTGTGTGTGATTGTAATATACAGTTTAATATAAAATATGTATAATATATAAATATTAAAATAATATTGTATAACATAACTGCAAGTACTTGGCAATTATTTTTTATGATTTTTATGTGATTTTACACACTTTTAACAAAAAAATTAATAGGGCAAGTTTAAAATTATTGGAAATTATACAAAACATTTAAAATATTCAATATTTCTTATGCAAAACTAAATTATATTAATTTAACCCAAATATCTTTTGAATTCCTAAGTCATGTTACAGCTTTTTAACACCCCTCATTTTTGGAATTTGAAAATTGAAAGATTCAACACTCCCTGATTGACCATGCCAATGGCATTTGGAGTAAAAAAAAAAACCCCAAAGGGCTGCAGGTTCCCTATCCTGAGAATATGTAAAGGTGACTTCTGAAACGTGGTGTGTTTCTTTTACTATAAAGTGTACAAGTTGGCTAAAGAAGCCATTGCCCAGTCCTGAACCATCTATTGCAAAATCATTTGTAAAGTTCCCTACCTGCAATATATTGGTGACCTTGGCATTGCAAAATATCTAAGTATTTAGTACATAAAATGGTTGGACAAGGTTTCCTAATCATTTATGGGAGACTACTTGTAAGCTGTCTGCTTTTACTAATTCAGGTGTTTCAATCTTAAGTTCACCACTGGTTAAGTAACGTTCATACATTTCATCCCCTTTGTGTCAGTTCTAGATAGTAAAATGTAGAATTAGCTGTGGTCATGCCTCTTCGAGAACAGGCTTGCTAAGTTTTCAGTTAACTATAATGAAGTGCAAAGTACTTTCATGGAGCGGGGAAATGGAGGCACAAACTCTTTAGAATGAAAATGCTAATTGTGTGAATGAATAATACTGCAGAAGATATGCTTGCTAGTTGCTTCCATTCTAGTTTGAGTGTTCAGCAACTCCAGCCCTTTTGTTCTCTTACGGGGGCAAAAAACTTCAGCTGGGATCCCGGGTCTATCAGACTTTCAGATTTGTGTATCATAGGCATTGTGTATCGTTGCTGCATCTTAATTTCTGTACACAATAAAACATTTGTACATTTAGCTTAGGTCTGCTGGCTGTTATTTACCTGAACTTCTTTGGTATGGTATTGATTAGCTTTGTGTTCCTACTTCGGTGATTTTGGTCTTGGTTTGTCTTTGCACACTTTTCTGAAAAGGCTGGTGTGGCTTAAAATGTGAAAAGCAAACCTCAGTTGCCAAAACAGTCCCTGCAATAGCCAAGCTTCACACTGATTGTTTCTGCATGGCAGAAAGTTTTTAACATAAAACAGGAAAGCTGCAAATCCTTGCCTCTCCTGGGCCATCCACCAACCTTTGGGACCTAGATAGCTATGCCAACCTGCCCTCCCACCTGTATAATTGACAATTTGATTGTGGATGAGGTTGCCTGACCTGGCATACATCACAAAGACTTGGGTGGATTAGCTGCTCAGGTCTGACCTCTTCCAGCTGTGCTCCATCAGGTACTTAGTGCAGCACCAGCATAGATTGGAAGAATTAGAGTGTGGCTGTCACTTACATAACTTCATATTAATCAGAAAAGCCTTTATACTTGGGCTACAGTTTCAAGGGTTTGTACCTGACACCAGATCATAGTCAGAACATGGTTCTTCTTGGTGTCCTCTTACTGCCCACCCAGCTGACTGAGGCAGTCTAGGGTTTGGTATTGGAGAGCATCAATGTTCAGTCTGAGACTGCCTTAGTTAACCTCAGTTTCAAAAATCTGTTGCCATGAAGTGTGAGGCTTTGTGAGAAGAACAGGCCCAAATCGCCCTTTGGTTCAGGGTATTAATTGAACAGTTCTTCATATCTTGGCCACAGGTTTTCCTTTATTAAAACCAAGATCCCTTTAGTTGGAATTGGATGTAGCATTTGTCATATTTTTCATTTTTTTTTTTTTAAAGCAATTTATTGGGTTTTACAATAAAAATAAACATGTTAAACAATATGACCTTTGTCTTGACATAATTTCACATTTTCTTTGGACTTCCTCACATCTCCCGCTCCCACTTTCATCGTTATAACATTTTGTCAGCAATTTATCATCTTATTTAAATTCTTATATCGCTTCTATATTTCATAATCTTATAATTTTCAAAGGGAATTAAATTTTCACAGTCTTACTTATTTTCATAGAATACTTCTAAATTTAGTGGTGCTCAGTTATTTTGGTCTAGCATCTTATTTAGCATTCACTCAAATTGCAATATTTTTGTAAATAGTTCTTGAATTTCTTCCAATCCTCCTCAATCCTTTCTTCTCCCAGGTCACGGATTCTGCCGGTCATTTCAGCCAGTTCCATGTAGTCTATCAGTTGCATCTGCCATTCTTCCAGTGTGGGTAGATCTTGAGTTTTCCAATGTTTTGCAAGAAGTATCCTTGCTGCTGTTGTTGCATACATAAAAATGTCTGATCCTTCCTTGCCACCCCTTGGCCGACAATACCCAAAAGGAAAGCCTCTGGTTTCTTAGTGAAGGTATATTTAAATACCTTTTTCAATTCGTTATAAATCATCTCCCAGAACGCCTTCACTTTAGGGCAAGTCCACCAGAGGTGGAAGAACGTTCCCTCAGACTCTTTACATTTCCAACACTTATTATCAGACAGGTGGTAAATTTTTGCAAGTTTGACTGGGGTCATATACCATCTATAAATCATTTTCATTACATTTTCTTTCAGGGCGTTACATGCAGTAAACTTCAATCCATTACTCCACAACCTTTCCCAGTCCTCAAACATAATATTATACCCAATATCCTGTGCCCACCTTATCATAGCCGATTTAACCGTTTCATCTTGTGTATTCCATTCCAGCAGCAAGTTATACATCCTTGAAAGTACCTTAATCTTTGGTTCTAACAATTCTGTTTCTAGTTTCGATTTCTCCACCTGGAACCCTAATTTCTTATCATTTTTAAAAACTTCTTTAATCTGAGCGTAATGTAACCAATCTCGCACTTTATCTTTCATTTTCTCCAAACTCTGCAATTTCCAATTGTCTCCATCCTTTTCTAATATTTCCCAATATTTTGGCCATTTAGCCTCCATATTGGGTCTTTTTCGGGCCTTAGCTTCCAAAGGTGAAAGCCACCTTGGTGTTTTATTTTCCAGCAAGTCTTTATATTTTGTCCAGACATTAAACAGTGATTTTCTGACAATATGGTTCTTGAAGGCCTTATTTGCTTTAACTTTGTCATACCATAAATATGCATGCCATCCAAAAACATTGTTAAACCCTTCCAGATCTAACACATCAGTGTCTTCAAGAAGTAGCCAGTCTTTTAGCCAGCAGAACGCTGCGGCTTCATAATACAACTTTAAGTCTGGCAGGGCAAAGCCCCTCTTTGTTTTGCATCAGTTAATATCTTAAACTTAATTCTGGGCTTTTGCCCTGCCAGACAAACTTAGAAATGTCTCTCTGCCACTTCTGAAAGCACTCCATTTTGTCCAAAACCTGAAGTGTCTGAAATAAAAACAACATCCTTGGCAATACATTCATCTTAATAGCAGCAATTCGGCCTAACAAAGAAAGTTTCAATTTTGACCAACTATCTAAGTCTCTTTTAATTTCTGTCCAGCATTTTTCATAATTGTCCTTAAATAGACTTAGATTTTTGCTGTTATGTTTACCCCTAGGTATTTTACTTTTTTAACCACATTGAGTTCCGTCTCATTCTGAAACCGTTCTGACTCTGTATCAGTCAAATTTTTCCCCAAAACCTTAGTTTTCTGTTTATTTAATTTAAATCCAGCCACCCGACCAAAATCATTAATCAGTTGTAATACTCTTTTCGTACTGGGCTCTGGCTTCTGCAGGGTCAAAACCAGGTCATCTGCAAAAGCTTTTAGTTTATATTGTTTCTGACCGACCTGAATTCCTTCCACCAACCGATCCCCTCTAATCATGTTCAATAGCACTTCCAGAACCGAAATAAATAACAAAGGGGAGATAGGGCAACCTTGTCGTGTCCCTTTTTCAATTTTGAACTCTTCTGTGACCACATTATTAACTATCAGTTTAGCTTTCTGTTCTGAATATATCGCCTCAATCCCATTCTCAAAACCCCGTCCCACTCCCATCTCTTTTAAATTTCCCATCATAAATTTCCAGGAGATATTGTCAAAGGCCTTCTCCGCATCTATGAAAATTAAAACTGCTTTTGTATTTATATCTGTTTGCAGAAGTTCCAAAATGTCAATAATGTTCCTTGTATTGGCAAACAGATGTCTACCTGGGAGAAAACCGGCCTGGTCCTTATGAATTACTTCATTTAAAACTTTTTTAAATCTACTTGCCAAAATATCTGCAAATATTTTGTAATCCACATTTAAAAGGGAGATGGGGCGGTAGTTCTTAAGTTGTGTCTTTTCAGCTTCCGACTTTGGTATTAATGTGATAAACGCTTCCTTCCACGAATCCGGTGCCCTCTTCCCCTCCATAATTTCATTGCTGACCTCCATCAAAGGTTGTATCAAATAGTCTTTTAATGTCTTATAATACTTGGAGGTCAGCCCATCTGGCCCTGGAGATTTGCCAAGTTGCATGTTCTGAATGGCTTGTTCAATCTCCTGTCGTGTTATTTTAGAATTCAGAATTGTCCTATTTTCTTGTGACAATTTAGATAGTCCATTTTTGCCAAAAATTGTTTAATCTCCACTTCGTCTTGCGGCCCTTGGGTGTATAATTTTTGAAATATCTCTGGAAACACTTTCTAATATCCACTGGATTCTGAATATTTTTTCCATCAACCTCTAAGTTTGTAACCGTGTTTAATCTTTGTCTTCTCTTCAACTGCCAAGCTAGCAGTTTTCCACATTTATTCGCCGACTCAAACGTTTTTGTTTCATTAATTTAACCTTCCATTCAATTTCCTGATTTATCAATTTAGAATATTGTGTTTGATAAAGCTTAATTTCTCTCAGAGTTGGCTGTGACTTTGGATTCACTCTTAATTTCTTCTCTAATTCTTTTATTTTGTCCAAGATCTTATCTTTTTCTCATTTTGTGTTCTTTTCTTTACTACATTCTGTTGTATCAAGAATCCCCTCATTACAGCTTTGCTTGCGTCCCAGACGATTCTTTTTTCGTTCATCTTTAAATAAGAATTTAGGTGACAGGCTCTCTTTTGCATATATCACCACGCCTCTCTTCTTAACTTTGTCCGACGAAACAAATTCCTGGCCCAATCTTTTATTTATTAACACTTTTCTGTGGAGCCTCATCACATGTGTTTCTTGTAAACAGATAATGTCCAATTGTTCTTTTTTTAATATATGAAATATTTTCTTCCTTTTTCCGGAATGTTACAACCATTAATGTTCCAACTCAGCAATTGCAGAGACATCCTGGATCTATCTGGTTATTTCTCCAGGGGTGGTATCTTCTCTGGATCTTCAGGTTCCCAGGTGCTGGTGTTAATGCTGGCTTTGCCCCAGGCCCAGAAGGTAATTCAATTCCTTTTGAAGGTCATCTCAGTATGTAGCCAACAATTTGTAACTCTCTTCCAATGTTCTAACTTTGACCTTTCTCCCTTTAAAGGTAAAAGATATTCCTTGGGGGAATTCCCACCTGAATGGAATTGCGTTGCTCCTTAGTAGTTTAGCAAGTTCAGAATAGGCGGCTCTAAGATCCAGCAGTTGTCTTGGAATATCTTTATAAATTTCAATTCTTCTGTCCAAAACCTCCAGTGACTTTCCGTAATGTAGGCCCAAAATCTTATCCCTTTCCTCCTTTGATCTCAATGTAATCAAACAGTCTCTGGGCCTCTCCTTCTTTGTGAATCTTCCAAGTCTGAAAGCCGACACAATTTTAAAATCCTTTTCTTCCAAATTCCAGAACTTGGAAAATTCTTTAGTCAAAAACTCAGTTAAATTTCCTTCTTCTGCCTCTTGTAATGATCTAATCCTCAAATTATTCTCACGATTTCGCAGTTCTATCATGGAAAGATAAGTCTGGTGTTCCCCAACTTGTTTAGTGAGTGGTCTTACCTCTTGCTCTAAATTTTCCAATTTTTGTCTAGTATCCTCAGCCAATTTCCGATTTTCTGCTGAGGCCTCCGTTAACTGTCCAATTGCTTGTGTATTCTGTACCACTTGTATGGTTAATTTATTTAGACATTCTGTATTTTTGTCAATCTTTGCTGATTGCGCATCTACTTTCTTGTCCAAAGCTTCCAATTTTTCAAAGATTTTGTCTAGAACAGAAACAGATGCTCCTGAGGCCATATCTTCCAATTGTAACTGCTCTGCTTCACCCTCTCCCTCTTTTGCCTGTGGCAAGGCGACTTCTTCAAATTCTACTTCTGAGGGCAAAGTAGGTACAGATGATCTACGTGTCTGCGAGGCTGAGGTTAGAGTTGTTAAAGTTGTTTGTCTAACTCTCCCTCTTTTCCTTGTGCCACTCATTCCAACGTTGTCTATCAGTCAAGGTCACACTGAGTTTTTCCCATGGGAATAGAAAGGCCCAGAGCAAGCAAACAACAAGGGAATCGAAAGTAAATGTAGATGTAAAGTCACTGTTTTAATCCAATCCTCTAGAGGGAGCTTAAAATGTCTTTCAGAGTCTAATTTAATGTCCAAGAACCTTCAGATATAAATATTTAGCAGAGTTTATAAGTAGTCACTTTGTTACAGACAGTGCTTATTTATCTCCAAAAAGAATGTTTCAAATTTAAAAAGTCTCAATACCCTCAGATTGTTGCAAGTTCCAATATACAGTATCCAAATCTGCAATACTGACAGCTCAATCTCTCAATGCTCAGGCAGCTCCTGACTCTGGGTTTCACCTTCTAATTTGTAATCCAATAAAAGGAGGAAAGTCAAGTGCAAGTTAAAATTCCGAATCTTTAGCTTAAAGTCTTTACTTTAAATTGCAAGTTCAGTAGATGCTTAGATCTGTAAAGTTTAAAATCTCTTCCTTTCAGCCTCCACTCCTCCAACTTAGTTGCTTTTTTCAAGTTCAATGGCTGCGGAAGACGGACTTCCTGTTTCCACGTCTCTCCGCTTTCAGCCAAGTTCAAGCCAATTTAAGGTTTTTCATTTAAAGTCTCTAATTTCAAGTGATTCAGTCTTTACTCACGAGTAAGTTGCTTTTCGTCCGAATCCGTATTTTAACAGGAAAAAGGATCAGCGCTCACCGGCAGCAGCAGCGCGGCTTCACTCCGCAGACTGTGAAGCAGCTCTCAGCGCCGCAACCCCCCTCCACGCTCCGGAGCCCCTTACGAGGTTCCTTTCACGTTTGGAGGGTCACTTAAGGCGCCCACCGAGCCTCAAGACCCCAAGCTCTTGCTGCCTGGGGTTTTCCGGAGTGGGTCTCCGCTTCGCCGTAGCGGACGACCCGTTGTCTGCGGAGCCTCCTCTCCCGTTCAGAAGAGGACCGCCATTGCCGTTCGCGCCGCCCCTCGGAAGTCCAAGGAACTGAAGTTGCATTTGTCATATTTTTCAAAGCCCCAAGATTCTGGAAGCAAGTCCTCTGACCTTCATTTGAAGCTCTCTGCATGCAGATCTGCTTGTTGTTTTAAAATACGGCCTGTCTCAAATGGTGCAAGAAGTTGGAGGTAGAGGGGGGACAGTTTCAGAGAAGTGGAATTTTATCCAGCACTTGATTTGGACTCGTATGTCGCCTTGTATGTCACCTATTACAGCGAATGCTGATGATCTTTGACAAACATTGAGTGTCTGACAACTTGGGAATATACTGGTGATAGTTTACAGTCGTCTAAATGTGACTCCATTAATTCACTTTTGTATTTCCAAGAAGTGGCCAAATATATGTCCTATTTTAAGCCACTAACAAAAAACACTATGCCAGTTTGGAAGGCTTGTTAATTCTGATTTCTTTTAACATGGCTGTGCTCATTTTAGGGTATCCCAGGAGACAGAGAGAGTCAAGGAATGGCTGACCCCCCTCAAGCAGCCAGCACGGTTGCTTCTCCATCTTCAGCAACAGCAGCAGCAGTAGCAGCAGCTGCAGCAGCAACTACCACAACCACAACTACTACTAGTTCTACAGGAGGTAAGGTTTCCATACTCGAAAAGTTCTGCACAAATCCATTGGATGGTTCAATTTGGATAACGTGGTTGTGTGCACATTCCTTCCCTGTGACTGCTTCCCTTAAGACCTGAAACTTTCTGACTTGTGTTTTTTCCATAGTACATGTCTGTTAGGAGCAACTAACTGCCCTTGGTAGTTTCTGTTGCAGTCTGTCTTGGAAATCAGTTCTATGCAGACTGATTAATAAATCTTTTTTCACTTGGTAATAACTGGTAAAATACAACTGACTACCAACATGTATCTGAAACGTTGAATTTTTTGGGCGTGGGTAAAGCAAATACTTGATGCCATTTAGAATGAGCTAAAATGAACTTATTACTGCAGAGGTTCAGCCATTATTAATACATTGCTTTGCAGGCTTTCAATGTAGGTTGAAAATTTCGCACTTGAAAATTGGGTGCCTCCTCGCTCCTAAAACTATTCCAGCAGTGGGTGTGCTGCTGCTTTCTTGGATTTGTGATTTTGAGGTTAAAATAAGGCTTAAGTAACTTAGCCATCTCATAAAAATGACTTACTAATTTTTGTAGCGAAAAGGTAGCGATAAATAGAAATAAATGCTTATATTATGGGAGATTCAGGTAGGCAGGAAAAAAATGAATAATATATGTGATAGCAAAAACTTGATTTGTCACTTGCTCACTTTTCAGCCTCTCTAAAACAAATATCAATTACCGGTACTTAGAATATACATTTTATGCTCTTGAGTGAGCTTTATAGTGGTTTTTCTACATCACAACAAAGTATTAAAAGTTTTGATAAAATTCATTGCTCTACTTTGGATTTTGTAGTGCCTGATGCCTGACCGTTGGTCTGATTTTTGTTTATAAGTCAATTTTTAAAAAAAACAAAACAAAACGCCCTTGTACACCAGACAGTAAGCATGGTGTTCACAAGAAAAATTAGCAATTTGCTCTGTCATGCACCTCAGGCAAGAAACTGAGGAATTATTTTAATCTCTTTCTTGTCACTTTGAGTAAGACAGTTCTAAGCCTTGGGAGTTAAAGACATGTCAACCCTATATGATTCAGGGCATCATACCTGTTGAAAAAGGCTTTTGGGAGGGAGGACAACTCCCCCCATGATATTCCATGGTAAAATATTTAATAAATATTTATTTTATATGCATGTGTAGATATATAAAAAAATCTACCCACACCTTTTTCCTTTTCAGGACACCCACTTGAATTTTTACGAAACCAGCCTCAGTTCCAGCAGATGAGGCAAATTATTCAGCAGAATCCATCTCTTCTGCCTGCATTGCTACAGCAAATAGGGCGGGAAAATCCTCAATTATTGCAGGTGACTTTTAAAACATTTTGGGTTGTCTCTGTGTTTTCAGGTGGTTTATTTATATGCATGGGGAGAGGGAGGCAGTAAAGTTAATGAGGCACATTAACTTCAGTTAACTTTTTTAAATTTAAAGCATGTATAAATATATCATCGTAAGGCACTCCTAATTATTACTTGTCGGCATTTTTATTGCATTATTAGTACAAACAGAAGTGGTTGTGCTTAAGGCTATTGGTAGGAATGAATATGCTTTATTTCAGTGTATTGTTTGCTTTTGTCCTCCCATGCACCACAGCAAATAAGCCAACACCAAGAACATTTTATTCAGATGTTAAATGAACCTGTTCAGGAGTCTGGTCAAGGGGGCGGTGGCAGCGGTGGCGGAGGAGGAAGCGTAGCTGAAGCTGGAAGCCGTCACATGAATTACATTCAAGTAACACCTCAGGAAAAAGAAGCTATAGAAAGAGTGAGTGCAGCATTTTTGTCTCTCTGTTCTTGAAGTAGAGAATAGCTTCCCATTCTCTGTTACCATATCTTCTATTTCCAAAGTTGAGAGCAGGAGTATATAGCCAAAGTGGCGTCATTTTGTGCACTTATCTAATAGTGTGGTTATCTAGTTCTGGTAGAAGATCCTGGTAGCGTACATCAAGCCAGCATGGTCTTCCTGTTGGTTGAAAAAGAAGACCACTGGTGGTATTTAGTATACAGGTGGATGTGTCTTAAGGGCTAGTCCAGAGCTTTCCAAACTGTGTGTCGTGACACATTAGTGTGTCAGCAGCAGTGTGTAGGTGTGTCGCGAACACTCTCCACACTCTTCTGGGGCTAGAAAGGGGTTAGTTTAACCTCCAGTTTGCTAGTAAAACTGAAATACTGCATTGCAAAGTGGTGCATATCTAAAAAGTGTGCCACCAACATGAAAAGCTTGGAAAGCTCTGTGCTAGTCTTTTATTGGTAACTGCATCTCACCAGGGTCAGTGAGTTGCAGGTTGAAGCTTACATGTAGTCATTCCCAGCTGCTTCTGCTCACCTGACATTGCTGTGAAGCGGCCAGAACATGCAGTTGACTCACATTGAAGCAACAGGGAATGGATGCAGACTGTTCCTGAAGATGTAGCATCTTGCAAGTAGAACTCTGGACAATGCAGTTATGGATACAGCAGTTATGGAAAGTAGTGACCTTGGTTGGAACTGTGCCTGATCGAAAGTCCCTAAGGTGGAAAAGGAGTCTTCCTTGACTGGGCAGATGTTCCTAATGAGAGTGATAACGTTTGCCTGTGGCTGGTCTGGGTCTGTTCGGCTAGCATTGATTGATGATTGATGCCCCAGGCCAGCAGTTGCATTTCTCCTACTTAAAAGGGAGGCTGCCAACTTACCATATGGCATCATCCTGGATTTTATTCCTGAGGTCTTGTTGAACTTCAAGGCATTTATTTTCTCCCTGTCCCGGATGGCGAAGTGGTAGTAACCTCACTGACATATCTCAGACAGCCTGGTGAAAATAGCATCTTTCCTAAACTCTTGCCTGAGTCCAGTACTGATGTCATGAAATCCATAAAAATCTATGAAAACTGCAACTTCCTCACCTGATCTGAATTCTGCTCTTCTTACTCTTGGATGCTGTCAGTGAAGAGCTGAGGGGTGCCATGGATTTCACATCCTGTACTTCCATATTAAAAGACAATGGCAGACCATCCAGAGTCTTCACTACTGATCGATCCATCCTTTACCCTGTCAGTTGTGCCTCAAAATTGAGAGGCCAGGAAGCAAGATCTCAGGAACTTTATTGTGGGTCTGTCAAGCCTGCCTCTAAAAAGCATTTGTACAGCATGTATGTACAAAGACCATGTTGGCAAAACCAAGTTGGTTATTGTTCTTTGGCCGGGGGGGGGGGGGTTGTGAAAGCATCTGACTTTATGGCAGCATGTGGATTGCAAATTGGGTGTTTGTACAGAAGGTACTAATTAACTTGTAGTCATGAGGTGCAAATTGCAGGCAGTCGTTTCTTATGGGCAGTATTGATTAGTGATTGAAAGGTCACAGAGGTTTTTTCCTCCTCCAGGGCTGTATTGCTGTGCTATAAGGAGTTTGAACTTGTTAACCTTTCTGGTTTTACATTGCTTAATTTACCTATGTGAACATTTTTCTTTTATTTATTTCAAGAATTGCTGTGTATCCCTATTTTAGTAATAATAGTGATAGTAGTAACTGAAGCTGCCTGCTTTTTGTGGGAGGAGTGGGAAAGGGAAGGGGACCTGTTGCTAGGTAGAGTAGGAGCAAGTTATTTGGACAAAGTGCCAGCAAATGGCAGCAGAATTATCTACCTGGAATTTATGCTCAACAAGGAAGCTTGTGCCTGAAATGTGAATTCTAATATCTTTTTCCATCCTACAGTTAAAGGCGCTAGGATTTCCTGAAGGACTTGTGATACAAGCGTATTTTGCATGTGAGAAGAATGAAAACTTGGCAGCCAACTTCCTTCTACAACAGAACTTTGATGAAGATTGAAAGGGAGAGACTTTTAAAATCTCACACATCACACCAGTGCATTACACTTACTGTTCACTGGATTGTCTGGGATACTTGGGCTCATATCCATGATACTTTGTGTAAGGTTGGGGGGAGGGAGAGAAAATATTGAAAGGACACAAGGAAAGACAAGCACATCTGCTCTAAATTGGCAGGTGTAGCAGATCAAAGTGTAAAATACTATACAACCAAAAACCAGCTTTTTTGCAGATACTTAGTTCCTTTCTTCTATAAATTGTAAGTTCATGCCCCCTCCCCCAGGTTTTCACTCTTTTAGTGTACTAGCTCCCAAAATTAGTGTGGTGCCCTGCTTTATTTCTTTTTAATTAACATTGGTCTTGGAGATAGCAAAGGCTACCTAGAATCAACAGTCTGTATTTCATGATAACACTGGATAACGGCTTCATAAATTTAAGGAAAAAATATATTTGAATAAACGTTAAAATATGCCAAAAATGTAGGTGGTGGGTTTTTTTGCTGCTTCAGATGTATCTAATTACTGCAAGAGGCCCCTAATTTCACATGAAGTGCTGGATTAAAAATTCAAATTAAACCACTCATTGTTTTAGATTATTGATCACTGATTTTTGAGGTATGTTCTTTTGCCTGCCCCCTTCCTTTCATAATAAATGGAGAGGCTATATACACAAAGCTAAACTTAGACCTTTTTTCTTTTGGGCAGATACTACAAGTTAACTGAATTACTGCTTACTTCAATGTTGGGTTACAGTAAAGTTTGGTTTTTTAAAAAACGAACAACCATTGCATGTTTTGGGTTTGATGTATCCCTTTTTGTGAATTGAGCACTTTTTTATTGCCAATGAAGAAAATGTAAACTCTCCATCCTTGTGAAAGTATTTATGAAGAAATCAGATTCCATCCTACCTATATTTTGTTCAAAGTGAAATTGATCAATGAATACAGCTGCAAGTATTTCAAAACTAGGTGTCTTAAATGCTTGTAATCTTATAGTTTCAATCTCTGGGACTCTAAAGGCTATTGTCATTGTATTGCTTTAAAAAGGACTGTAATGTTCCAGTAACTTGCCTTCTCTTCTGTTTTAAAAGCATTGTGAAAATATTTTGCTCTTGAAGAGATGTTCAGAACATGGGAAAATAGATGAACAATCAAGTTATTGGATCTCTAAAGATTATGCACACACACCCTTTACTTCCTATTAAAAGTAACATCTAATTGTATGATTTTGAGTGTTTTTCTTACTGACAAAGAGATACTTTCTATATGTTTGATTATCCTGAAGTGGTTCTGTATAGTCGTCCCCCCCCCCCCGAATCACTGCTTGAAAATACAGTGGTACCTCGGGTTACATACGTTTCAGGTTACAGACTCCGCTAACCCAGAAATAGTACCTCGGGTTAAGAACTTTGCTTCAGGATCAGAACAGAAATCGTGCTCCGGCAGCACGGCAGCAGCAGGAGGCCCCACTAGCTAAAGTGGTGCTTCAGGTTAAGAACAGTTTCAGGTTAAGAACGGACCTCCGGAACGAATTAAGTACCGTATTTTTTGCTCTATAAGACTCACTTTTTCCCTCCTAAAAAGTAAGGGGAAATGTGTGTGCATTTCTTATGGAGTGAATGCAGGCTGCGCAGCTATCCCAGAAGCCAGAACAGCAAGCGGGATTGCTGCTTTCACTGCGCAACGATCCCTCTTGTTGTTCTGGCTTCTGAGATTCAGAATATTTTTTTCCTTGTTTTCCTCCTCCAAAAACTAGGTGTGTCTTATGGTCTGGTGCGTCTTATAGAGCGAAAAATACGGTACTTAACCCGAGGTACCACTGTATTGATTATGTCAATAAGGATCAGTCCCTGGGCCAAATCAGGATGCCTGGTTCCTCAGTTCTAAAATCAGATGCAGTGGACCCTCTTGTTATGAATTTAATTCGTTTCGGGGGTCTGTACACACCCTGAAAAATCCGTAACTAGAGGCATCGCTTCTACGCATACGCTCAGCGCATCTGTGCATGCGTGTGACACGCAGAGCGCTTTGCACATGCACGAGTGGCAAAACCCGGAAGAATACACTTCTGTGTTTGCCACTTTCGCAACCTGAAAATTGCGTATCCAGAGCAGTATGTAACCCAAGGGTCCACTGTCTATAGAAAAGAGTGGCAGGCATTACATTAGGGTGGTCATGTACACATATTAGGGCTTATTTCAATGTGAAGTAAGTGCATGGAACGCCATGAGTTGGATTTTTCAAAAGCATGCTTTCTGCCACATTTATGCTGCATAACTTGAGCCTAATTTACAAGCAGTAGACATGCTCAAGCTCTGGACTGTACCACTTCAGATTGCGGATAGAAAATTGTTTTTGAAAGCTCTGCAAAAATGCATTTGGCTTTATTTTTAAAGCTTGTTATATCAAATAACACAATGTTACTTCTGTAGCAGTTTCTCTTAAGGGAATAAAAAAAACCCCTGATATCTTCATGCTCTTGAGAAAACTCTTTTTTGTATATTTTATAGAGCTAAGAGAGCCCTCTACTGGCCTGTTGCGTGATACATTTGAGTATGTTGTGCAGGCAACCAGCCTCTGATTTAAAGATTTGGATTGCCCACCACCTGTAAAGCAGAAATAAATTAAGGTCTATTTTACTTATCATTGCGCAAGAACACACTCCTCTCAGTCACAGGTGCACAGCAAAAAAAGGCAGTTTCCTCGCACTGTAAGGTGTTACTTGCGTTGCATGCTTTCAAATACCTGTTTGTTAAAAAAACTTCCCTTTTTTGATATGTGTGGAGCCTGCACGAAATGTTTGCGTGTTCCTGTTTAGAGTTCTAGCCAGCTATGATCTCTTCCAGCAATTCCAACCCCTTCCGCTTGGGAAAAAAGAAGCAGCCAGTTTTCCACGAATGTTGAGTGTGCTCAGTTCCCATGAGTCTGTGCTTTTTTGGGGGTGAGGGAGCTGGGTATGTCCCTGGCCCCATAGATAACGTGTCCTTGTATGGATGGTGCTGGGTTGCTTCCTGCAGCCACACAGAACAGATGGAGACTTTGATCCCAGTTCACAGGCCCCCTAAGACACCCGAGAAACCAGTTTTAGCAGGGATAACAGTGAGACACAAGAAGCATAGTTGAGACTACAGCGCCCCCATCACATTTGTTTCAGTTTTCTCTGTCTAGCTTTAACACAGCGATCCTAAGTACGTTTAATTTAAAAGAACTTCCTTTAGATATGTGTTCCAAGAATGCAGCTAAAGATCTTACAGCTATATATTTGGCAGGGGTTTTCCTCCCCTTCTGCATCCCATTTTTTAAAAATTGGGAACTTTTGCCTTTAATAATGTTTTCTTGTAGGTGCTGCTAATATTTTAAACGTGCACACTGTATGCTCTTGCCAAGGGACTAAGCATTTTCAGGCACCCTACATTTTCAGGCTCAGCCCCACCACCAGAACATAGGACTTGCCGATCAGAAGGTCGGCGGTTTGAATCCCCGCGACGGGGTGAGCTCCCTTTGCTCGGTCCCTTCTCATGCCAACCTAGCAGTTCGAAAGCACATCAAAGTGCAAGTAGATAAATAGGTACCTCTCTGGCGGGAAGGTAAACGGCATTTCTGTGCGCTGCTCTGGTTTGCCAGAAGCGGCTTAGTCATGCTGGCCACATGACCCGGAAGCTGTACGCCGGCTCCCTCGGCCACTAAAGCGAGATGAGCGCCGCAACCCCAGAGTTGGTCACAATTGGACCTAATGGTCAGGGGTCCCTTTACCTTTACCAGGCTCTGCAAGCACTACAGATCCTCTACATGTCCCTATTTTCCAGGGACAGCCCCGGATTTACAGAAGCCGTCCCGATTTCTGATTTGATCCTGGAATGTCCCGCTTTTCGGAGAAAGGGAGGGTTTGGAGTTATGTGACGCTTGAGCCAAGGAGATAAGACATCTGAAGGCAGCCCTGTATAGGGGAGTTTTTATAAATGTTTAATGTTTAATTATATTTTTATATATGTTGGAGCTGCCCAGAGTGGCCGGGGCAACCCAGTCAAATGGGTGGGGTATAAAGATTATAATTATTAAGGATGTCCCTATTTTCATCGGAGCAATGTTGGAGCAATCGCAAGGGGAGGCCTGTGCTTGCAGATGTGAGTGGAAGGATACTACTGCTCAATCCACACACACCCCAACTTGTCATAAGGTGGTGGCTGCCCTGCTTCCTAAAGCAGGGGAAGATTTCAAGTATTGCTTACCACATTCTAGTCCAGTAGTTCTCAAACCTTTTTCTCTGGGCAACACTTTTAAGAATTAAAATTTGCTTGCACCACACCAGTTTTTTTATTGATAAGAAGTACACTGGAAAACCAAAAGAAACAACGGCTAGCAGCACTTGATTTTATTTTGTTTTTATTTAATAAATTTGTATAGCATCCTTCATCCAAAGACCCCAGGGTGGTTCACAACAGGAAAAGCACAGCATGAGAATAGAAAATCCCAAGCAAGGCATGAAGGCTTCCCTTGTTGGCACCTGGTGTTCAGAAGTACCATATTTTTCGGTCTATAAGACGCACCAGACCACAAGACGCACCTAGTTTTTGGAGGAGGAAAACAAGAAAAAAAATATTCTGAATCCCAGAAGCCAGAACAGCAAGAGGGATCGCTGCACAGTGAAAGCAGCGATCCCTCTTGCTGTTCTGGCTTCTGGGAAAGCTGCGCAGCATGCATGCGCTCCATAAGACGCACACACATTTCCCCTTCCTTTTTAGGAGGGAAAAAGTGAGTCTTATAGAGCAAAAAATACGGTAACTTGTGCTCTAGCTATCAGGTGCAAAAGCCATCGTCCAAATGGGAAAGGGATGAGTTGTGAGACCCACATTGTGATCACCCCCTGCCCTGCCCTGCCGTCTAGGTTGCTCTCTTAAAACAGAGAACAGCTGTGTCCCATTCAGCCCCCCACTGTGGCTCCCTGCCTGATTTTAACTGTTATTTAATACAGAGCATTTGTCCTTGCATCAGAAGACATATGGCGAAACAATGGCCCATTAAACGTACATTCGCCGGCTTTCATCTGCTTGCCTTGCAGGTTCAGCATTCTTTTGTGTGTGTGTTTCCTTTAAATGTTGGTTTTCGGCACTAAAAATCCATTACATGCAGGGCCTGACAAAAGAAAGTCACATTAAATTTGGAGGGATTTTTTTTTAAAAAATTAAATAAGGAGCTAATTATAACCTTTTAGTAATAGTGGCTATGCTGCCCTTTGTTCTTGGTTTGGCTGCAGTCTAGAGAGGGAGAGACTTCCCTTTCAACTTTTAAATGGCACATTCTGCATATTTGCAGCAGGAAAACATTGGGTCCTTGTGAGAGGCAGGTGCAGATTATTATCCAGGGGATGCTCTGGAAATGTATGGTAAGGGGCAGCCTTCCCCAAGTCTAACTTCCAGGGCTCTCAGCACTGCCCTTTGCCCCTCTTTCTTGAAAAATAAAATGATCTCTCACACATGGATCAATTACTATCCTCTGGAATACTTTTTAAACGCTGGGGAGTTGACAGTTGTACCAATAGTCCTATTCCTTTGGGGGGCACTATAGCACAGCTTTTTAAAGCCTTGCATAGAGGACTCTGTTGATTTCAAAAGCAAGTTGGAGTCTTCTTTCCTTTAAAAGTATGTAATTATGTTGAGAGGTGGGGGGAGAAGGACAAATTCCCAGAGGGATTCAGCCAAAGGTATGTTATATGCATCCTATTCTTCTTGCACTTTTCGGTTGTTACTTAAATTGAAAGGTCAAGAAGAGAGCTATGAATGTCAAGAAACTGCAGTAGTAGCTCAGTCATGGACATATGCTAGGCTAGGAGAGTGTTCTGCTGGGGGGGCGCATGTTCTACCAACACAAACTGATCTGCACAAACTGATTCAGGCACATTAAGAGTGGCTTGCAACTTGCTCCATATGTTTTTGGGCAAGCCAACTGGGTGAACTCGGGTGACATGCCTCGAGGCTGCTCTTGGCCCATGGTTAACCCACTCCTGAGTTTTTGGCTATTCTGTAGATGTCGGAAAAGCTGTTCTTGTAAACTTAAGAAAGTTATCAATCTTCTCTCTAGAACGATCGAACATTCCTAGATATAGGAGAGTGTTTTCGACGGCTCAGTTCAATACTTTGGTGTCTGTATTCTGGGAAGATTGTTTTTTGAGCATTTGAAAGTTTATCCTTGGGAAAGCATATTAGCCCATGTTCTTCTACAATGTATATATTTTTTTTAAGGTTATAAGATCCTGATTTATTTTCCTCTGCATTTAGGAAACTTGGATAAATTCCGTGTTTCAGTTTTGATGGCACATTCCCAGCCTAAGGGTACAGATTAATATAAGCAGGTTCATTGCTGTGATCACAATGATGAAAATGTCAGATGCATTTCGAGTTTGCATTTTTAAAAATATTTCTGACTGTTTTTGGATTTTGCTATACCTTTTAAAAGGCACAATTTCTATGTATGTCTGTTGTGATTTCTTTCTCTGCTGTAGTTGTTTTGTTAATCCTGCGTTGCATTTGACGTTGATGGTCTGTAGATCAAGTAAACTGAAATTGAATAGCACTTAAGAAAAGTGGGAACTTGTCGTCAAGTTCTGAACACTTCTTGTCTTGCCAAAATGAACACTGCAAGCAAACAGTGTTTTGACAACATCAGAAATATTCGAAAAATGAATGGCCCTTCTCATATTTCAAACAAATGTAATAGAAATGGTCACAGGGGATTGCTAAACCAGATTATTGAGTGCGGGTAATTTTGGAAAGCAGTGCTGCAGAAGAATGACCCAGAGCCATATGAACCAATGGGATATTGAACAGTGAGTGCAAGTTATTTGAATGTGACACATGCCGACATGTACCAGGAAACAAGGTATGAGATGGAGCTGACTGCTCAGAGGATCCCAATCGTATTTGAATACAAAGGGTTTTTTTTAAATTACATAATCGCCAGAGACATTTATGTTATCTCCAGCACTATCTGTCTCCTGAATTTGTTTTAATGAGGGACAGATTTTAATACACAGGGTTTAATTAGGGATAGTTAAACTGGATCAGAAAACCCATGAAACCACCACACCCAAAGGTGTCCTTCGCTAGAAATGAAATCCGAAGCTTTTTTATGGATAAGCAGGACGAAAAAAATGCATGTAGCCTTCCCTCCATCCCCCCCCCCTTTTGAAGCATGAGTTTGTTTTGGAAGCATTTTAATTGGGACATGTGGGGCAAAAACAGGAAGCTACAGGAGAAATCACTGAGTAATAGTATTTGTTCATCTATTTGTTCATCTAGCAATTCCTTTCTTTCTCTCTCTCTCTCTCTCTCTCTCTCTGACATTTTTTTATTGAAGTTTTCACAATACAATAAAAATAAACAAACTAATCTACAGGAAATAAAGAGAAGAAAGAAACTAAAGAAAGAAGAAACAGAAAAAAACCCCCGTAAGTTCCTCCCTCTGCACGATATCTAAACTTCCA